GGGAGCCCCAGCGCTTACCCGAGCCGACAGCGCCACCCAGGGCTGCCAGAGCACAGTCCGGGCTCTGTCCCCGTCCTCCTCCCCCTCCCTCCCCGCTTTAAAACTCGCCAAGGTTTGGCCCTTTTCTGTTCCTGAATGACTACACTGATTGACAAGGAAGTAATATTTTACTGTAGTAGTTATAGCAACATAAATCGTAAGTACTGGTACATTTAGAGTACATTAGATCAGCCACAGGCACATCGCTATTCAAACGACTGCATTTACATGAAGTGGATTATACTTTATCGCACTAGTTGAAGGGGTAATATTTGTAGGCAGCTAAGGTCTAGATAACCAGTTTATATATCACAGTCCATCCCTGCTTGCTTTTTTTTTACTATATTGAAAAACTTACTCAGCCCATATTGAAATCATTTTGTATGCTTCTGCTGAATAAATGTATAAAATCACATGACCAGTTCACTCAAGGAATACATCACAGACAAAACAAAGGGTGCAGGTTTTATAACAGTGCACACTTTTATTAAAATGACCCTGATCAAATCCCTGGATACACACCTGGACAAAACAGTGGCACAAATTTTAGAGAGCAGGTAAGGCACCAGGTGCCAATGATGCTAGAAAACTATTTCAATAGGAGCAGAAAAAAAACTTAGGACACAGGCCGTGCAGCGAACAACCCAAATTATACAGTTGTTGCCTGCACTTTCCCCTCCCACAGGGCAAAGGCCATCTGGCAGCTGCTGGGCTACTGACTGTGTCACTGGTGTGCAGCCCTTGCGGCTGCTGAGGTAGTTTGGTGCTCACCTTTCTCACTTGGGGCTGGAGTCCTGTGGGGCCGGTCCTGCCTGCGCCATGTGGTTGCTGCGTCCTGCGAGAGCTGGCAGCGCACTGCATGCAGGACAGCTTGGGAAGGGGCTGCTCCTTCCTCTCTGCAGGGCAGGAGGCAGCTCACCTGAAGAAAAATCCCTGAGAACAGCAGCAAAAGAAGCAGCCCGCTGACTGCTGTTTTTAACCACCAAGCACAGAACTCCCAGATGGGACTGAGATGCATAAAGTTCAAATGCTGGCTATTCCAGTTGAGAAGTTTAGGCTAGATGGGGGGAGGGGGGGGATGCAAATAAACCTGTGTTCAAGCAATTTCAAGGGTAAAGCTGGGGAAACACTGATGTGCCTTTGAAATGGGGCATGAAAAGTTACAGAGGTCAGAAAGCACAGGAGCAAGTAATCAGTGAACTGGTTGGTGATCAGGCTAGGCCATACATGAAAGCATATTTGGGTGTCTCCCACAGACTACCATGGGCTCTTTTAAGAAAAAAAACCAACCAAACAAACATGGGCACCCTCCGCCCACTGAAACAGAGACCTGCAGGTATGCAGCCCTCTGAAAAATCAGAATTCAGACGTTTCAAAATCAAAAAAATCAAAATCAAAAAAAATCAAAATCAGAAGTTTCTCAGGCTGCGAAATCCAAAAGGCAAGGCATCCATGATTCATTTAGTTTTTCTGAAAATGTGTGTCATAGTCCATAAAATAATTGCACTTTCTTATATTTGCAGGTTTCTTTCAAGTTGCTTCTGTGTTTAGTAAGTTATAAACTGAAATAGTTGTATTTCTACCTGCTTTTGCGAGGAAAGCTGAAGCAAAACTCGTTTCTTCCTCCCCTAGCACAGCTGGAAATAGGCTACTTTTAGAAAGGCAGCAACACAGACAGTATCAGCGTGAGAGTGTTGCTACAGTCTGCAGCTCTGTACCACTGGCTTTCCTGCGCACTTTTTTCTCTTTCAGAATTTGGCAAGAAAGGTTATTTAAAAACCAATCTACATCTTGATAGTCTTCAGGCCACCGCAAATACCGACTCCTTTGTAAAAAGATTCGAATTGGCTTGTGTTTTATCAGTTGATAATGAGAAAGTGATCCAACCACTACCATTATGAGGACATCTTTCAGATCACAAAAGTATCTGCTCTGAGCAAAATTAAAGGCTTCCACACACCACCCATCTTTGAGAAACTGCCTTGTCACAATGCAGACTGTTTTCCTGCTGTTCCAAATGGCATCACGAATATTGTTGATATGTTCTTCCCCAGGCAAGAAATCTCTTTCCTCAAAACACAAAGTTAATCTGTTTTTGTCAACATAGTGTGAATCCAGACGTTTAAGTAAAGCATGCTGGACCCATTCAAAGTCATTTTTGCTGTAGCACAAATATGCATCATATCTGTACTCACTTGTATCAGCTGCTTGTTGATGGCTGTCTATCAAAGTTCTTGTGACAGTTTTATACCAGACAAAACAAATCCCCCGACAGCGAGTAAAAATGATGACTGCCATCAGAAACATTGCCAAGGTGACAGAGGTGAAGATGAATACTGAGAACCTGAGAGACTGCTGCAGTTCATCTTCATCGCAACCATCATATAGCAGAGAAGACAGGGATACCCCTGCAAAAGCAGGTGGATATACACAGTACCTATCAGATGGTGAGCCCGCCAGGGTTACGTTGGTTTCATTTAGCCACAGTAGTAGGTTCTTTAAAGTACAATCACAGACATACTTATTGTGTGTTATATCCAGGACACTCAAAGTCATAAAGATTTCAGGCTGAGGAGAGAAAAGCTGGTTTGCAGACAAGTTTAGGTTTGTTAGGCTTTGTGGAAAAATCCCAGGAGAAAGATGAGACAATAGGTTGGAAGCTAGATTTAGTCTTTGTAGAGATGCCAGACCGCTAAAAATCTCTCGTGGAAGAAAACTGAGGTAGTTGTTATTCAGATGTAGAACCTGAAGTTTGGACAGTGCCCTGAACACATCCAAACATAAATCTCTCTCCCACACAAGCTGTAACATATTTTCTCCTAGATCTATATAGACTATCTGATTGCTTTCTATAACATTAACTCTTTTCACACAGTAAGAGAAGCGATTTTGTTTTAAGAAGATATACTGTAAATTTGGAACTTGGAAAAGTACATACAGGTCACCCAGGTTTGCCAACCAATTTCTTTCTAAATCGAGATATGTTGCAGCTATTGCTCTGTCAACTACAGACATTAGCTTATTGTCACCTAAAAAGGCAACGGTCAGATTTGGAAAAGAAGGGAGTGTTTTAATGGCATTGTCACGAAGATCAATTATTTCCAGATTTACTAAACTACTGAATGAATTTTGGCCAATCATTCCAATATGGTTTTGCTGTAAATCAAGATGCATTACACTATGTAGCCCCTCAAAAGTATAATCGTACAACTCACCTAAAAGATTACCTGAGAGATTGAGAGTTTTTAGGTTTCCCAAGCCAAAAAATGCTTGCCTTTGGATCTGATTTATCTTGTTTTTGCAAAGGTTCAGTTTTTTCAGCAGTTCCAAATCACCAAGGCTTTGAAATATTAAAAAATTGAGAGAGAAAATGTAACCATTTGAAATATCAAGCACATGAAGATCACTTCCTGCTAGACCTGTAAATGTATTTTCATCCGGATTTTTTAAGTTATTAAAGCCGAATCCTGAACCCATTATATGAAAACTAAGTTTTAAAGAACTGATTGGAGTCCCTTTTATGGCTGTACAGAAATACTGGACCATCTCTGTGCTCCAACCACTGTGACCAAGGTCCAGCGTGTTCAACGTAATGTTTCTGAAAGGATTTGGGCATTTGGCCCAGGGCGTTAGACTGGTGTAGTACAAGTTATTAGAATTGAGACTGAAAAATGAGAATTTTTTTCCTTGGAAGCTGGTGAGATTGCTTTCACACAGGTTAGTTATCTTGTTCAATCTCAGGTCCACAGTTTTCAAGACTGTTAGATTATAAAATAAGGGATGAGGCTGAAGTTTTGTGATTTGGTTCGCTGAGAGATCCAATTCTTCTAAGGACCTCAAATCTTGAAAGTAGCGTTCCATCAAGATGGAGTCTCCAAGACTGTTGCCGTACAGCCAGAGTACGGTCAAATACGGCAAGTCCACAAAAGCATCAAGATCCAGTTGAAGAATCTTATTGGAACCTAAATCTAAGACGCGAAGGTTTGGAAGGTTCCTGAAAGCTGCTTTTCCTATGATAACAGGAAAGACATACTGTGTTCCCATTTCCAACACCAACAGGTGCTCCAGCAGCGGGAATGAAGTTGCATTCACTTGTCTGATATAGTTGAAACTTAGCAAAAGCTTCACTGTATCCTTTGGCACAAGTGGAACATCTGTGAGGTTACAGAAATAATACTGGGAGATTTGGCCTTCTGAATAACAGCTTGTAAATGCATATGTATCTCCAGCTAGAGATATTCCAAAGACAAGTACTAGCTGTTGATGTAACATCATTAATCTGTATGAAAAAAGTGAAGACAGTAAGAATTAGTTATGCAGTTGACTATCTACCCAATAAGGTTGTGCAGTAGATTATAGACAGCTGTAGAAGAAAAGACAAATGTCACAATAAAAATGACTAGTGATTTGGGATTTATCCTTTCTCTGAAAGTCTAATAGGCACCTGATGGTCTGGAGATGCGAGCGCCTAATACCTGAAAAGTATCTCTCTCTCATATATCTTAAGGTGGGTACCAAAATCCCACCAGTTAAGTGTCAAAATCTTGAAAAACTTGGCCCAGCTTTTTAATTTGCATCACCAAAGCGACAATACTAGCGTA